GTGTGTGTGTGTGTGTGTGTGTGTGTGTGTGTGTGTGTGTGTGTGTGTGTGTGTGTGTGTGTGTGTGTGTGTGTGTGTGTGTGTGTGTGATTTCTGTGTCCATTGTGCTAAACTGTGAAAAGATCTGCCTCCTAGGGAACGCTGCAGTCGTGGCAGAGCACCAAAAAGGCAGGAAAATAGGGCAGAGATTAAAGATTCAATGCACGTGTGCACAAGCGTGTTTGTGAACAAATTGTGCTTGTGCATCAAAGTGCGTGTCTTTTGCGTGTAAGTGTGTTACCAAGTGTGTGGGCGTTTATGAGATGGAAGATGAAGAGAAGTGCTTTCAACAAGACAGAGGGGGGGAGAGGAAGAGCGAGCATCTCCAGATCAGTCTGAGAGAGAGAGGGGGAGAGAGCTGTACTTTACTTCGGTCCCTTGGGGCTTCAGACGCAGGGAGGTTAAAGTCTGAGTGTAATACTCTAAAGTAAAATTCACTTACATGCTGCTGGACAATGTTCTGCTTTTAACGCCTTAAAGATGACAACAGCCCACCAGTGTGCTTTGACGTATGTTTAGGCGGTTACATTCATAAAGAACAAAGCACAAAGACAGTTATTATACCTCAAACAGAGCTGTGCCCTTCCTAAGTTTCCACTCTGAAGTTTGCTCCTACGCTCTGAAGACTGGAGAATGTTTTTTGGTCTGGGGGTGCAGGAAGAGGGTAAATAGTGGCTGTTTTTCTGCCCTGCTGCCCAGTTTAAGAGACTCAGTGTCATGTGGAGCTGGCGGGAGATGGTCCCAATGCCTGTGTGTCCACACAGACCCGCTCTGTCCCTGGTTACTGACAGGGAAACAATGGGCCAGTTGTGGAACTGTCCACTTTATTCTGTCCCGGGTCGCCGCTTTTCCCGTCAGCAGCCGGGATCTCTGTGTGGCTCTTACTCCCTCTCCTGGTGGGCCGCCTCACGCTGAGAGGGACTGTGGGTGTGCTACCCTCTTCTAAAACAGGCCAGAAGTACATACAGGTCAACAGAGGGGAGGCTATGAGTAATGAGCCAATAGAAAGAAATCAAGGTGGCAGCTTATCCAGATCAATATTTTACCGTGTAATGTGAGCCGCTGTCAGATATCTGTGGAGGTAAACTATGTCAGTCGGTCAGTGTGTCGACTAACTTTTCCCCTGTGACCATTTTTTCTCTTGCCCTCCTTCTATCCTCTGCTTTTTTTTCATTTCACCTGTGATTCTCTCCCTGGCTAATTTTCCCAGGCTCTCAGTGACTTCTGCACAGATCCAAACATATTTGTTCTTAACTCCACCAACTTCAACACTGGGACAAGCTCAGGTACAGTATGCCTGTCCCTGTGCAAAGTGCTAGTTGTTTCCCATTTCCACAATGAACTTGATTCACCCCCAAACTGTGCTTATGTCAGCACAAACTAATATAATGAGTGAAATGTTCCCACACCGTTTCTATTATGCGCTGATCTGTTGTGCACTGGTGTTTTGCTGGCCATTCAGATGTGTTGGATTATTACCTGACCTGCAGCAGGCGCATGAACAGTCCGTTCCAACAGGTAATGTGACCTCCTGACAGTCACATGTATTTATGTATATCACATAGCACATCACAGGCATTTAGCTGACTCTCCTGCCCTCTTTGATTCCAGAGAACAGGTTGCATGTCACACTTGCTCAAGGACAAATTATTTGAGGACAGGAGGCACAGCTGCGTGTGCTGTCTTTAAATGATTTGCTCTGCAGATAAATAGCTAATCTCTCAGCATATTAATCATATATTTGAGCAATAATGTAAATTAAAAGTGCCTGACGTCACTGACTTGTTGGCTGCAGGTGATGACACAGTCGCAGAGGGCGCTGTCCAACATCCACACACACCTCTCCAATCTGGACAGAAACGCTCTCACACAGTTCCCCAAAGCTGAGGTTAGAATTTGTAAACATAGATCTTAAGAAGCATTTCCTCCCCTTCTTCCAGTGATTTTGATCTAACTAATGTTTCGTCATTACAGAAATCACTCAGGGAGGTTCAGCAGATACTCAACTCCACAGAGGGAAACTTCCATCAACTGGTGGCACTGCTGAACTGTCGAGGTCTGAATAAGGTAACCCTCCCCCCCACAAACAGACACACACAGACACACACACACACACACACACACACACACACACACACACACACTCTCTCTCTCTCTCACACAGACACACACACACATTCTCTCTCTCACACACAGACACACACACTCTGTCTCACACACATACACACGCTCTCTTTCACACACAAACAGAC